GAAAAAATTAGCAGTATATTACAGTATTTCATTAATTACATGCACACCTCCCATACAAGGCTACAAATCTTTAGAAAGTTTACACAAGGATGAGAGGGCTGGATCAGTGATTGGCAACTGAGCTGTTGTCAAGAGCATCTGAAGCACAAGATAGGGTGCTTTATATTTTTGCATAGAAACAAACAAACAAAAATATTAGAAACTGGAAACGGGGGTCGGAGGGAAGGAAAGAGATGAAGAAAAAACAGATCTATTCTTGAAATTTACAGAATATTGTTTATTTTACTAAAACGAGTTTCTACTGGAAAAAAGGAAAACCACCTACCTGACACAAATATATCTTGTGCAAGTTCCACTCCTCTCCCAGAGCACAGATCTTAATATCACTATTTTCACCATTCAAAAACAGAGTCTGATAAATATACTTGGATGTACTTTTTAGTTTTTTCCTGGATAAAAAAAAACAACCCAAAAGACATACACAAGCTGTGGAATTCTGCCACAAAGAAAATGAAAATATTTGTCAAGCACTTGATTGCTTACAGCACCACCTCAGAAGTTGGCTAGCAAGATTTTCTTCTCTTCCTTTACTCATTAGACAGTTATAGACCATTTCCCCCCATGTGTTGCTGACAGAGCTCATGTGACTTATGTTTACTTTCTTTGTGTTTACTACAGCTAAGTAGTTTTCAGGACGTTCCCAGAGCAAATAGGAAAGCTAACAGAAGTCCCAAAGCCAACACCTGCCCCTGCACTCAAACACATCCTGCCAATTTTCATGGGGCTAGAATCCCTTTTTCCAGAATTAGTTTTCTCTGTCTCCTCTCCTTCCCCCCCCCCCCCCCCCCTCAAGGCCCCATAACTCCCCCCCCCTGCCCCAAACCAGACCCCCCCTCCCCCACACCCCCCCCCCCCGCCAGCCATAACTCCAACAAATCCCTCCACCCCCGTCAGCCAAGACCTCCCCAAAAAACCCCAGACGAGACCCCCCACCAGCCAGGCCCCCCATCTCCCACTACCTGCGGGGGGTGTTGAGCAGCCGCTCCTCGCGCTCATCGTCCCCGTCGCTGTCGCTCTCGCCCGGGCCCTCGGGCCCGCCCCGCTTCCTCTTCCCTCCGCGGCTGCCCCGGTCCCCGTCTGCCCCCTCCCCGCGAGGGGGCGCCACCCGCCGCCTCAGCACCCGGCTGCTCAGCGAGCCCATGGCGGCTGAGCCGCCGCCTCCTCATGGGGCCGCCCGGAGCGGAGCGCCCAGCAAAAGGGAGGGGGGGAGGGAATTAGCAACGTCCAGCCACTTCCATTGTCGTCGCCACAGAGGCCGAGGCCACGGCGCATGCGCAGAACAGGACAGGCTACGCATGCGCTAGGAAAGGCCCTACGGCGCATGCACCTACGAAACTCCACAGGGGGGAGAGGGAATTAGCGCATGCGCTACGAAAGTCGCCCTACGGCGCATGCAGCAACGAAACTCCACCGGGGTAGGGGAAATTGGCGCATGCGCACTGTGCTCTCCTGTGGGGATGAGCGCGAGCCTGCCTGCAGCAGGGGGCCTATGCTGCAAAGCTGCTCCCATTGACCGCAATGGCTCCTGCTTTGCACCTATTGCAAAAGGCATCCCCTCTCTCTTGCTGGTGGCTGGCTGCGCCTATGGATAAAGGCTCTGCCATGCACTGCGTGCAGCGTTTGTTTTTGAGCGGTCCCGTTGCAAGGCATTCCCTCTGCTGACTTGTGTGGGGGTGTTCCTGCTGGAAGTGGCCCCAGCCTTGGCTTCAGCTGGGGTTGCAATAACTAGCCTAGAGGGAGTCAGCCGACTGGGGGAAAGGGGGATTTATAGCACGCACTGAATCGCCAGGGATGTGCCTGCCCGTATTTAAACCCACTCCCACCCCAGGGGAGAACTCAGGTGTCAAAAGAGTTCTGGGGGACAAGAAATGATAATACAGGGATAGGCGTGAGGTCGTGGGATCAAAAAAAGGGAACCTGGGGGGGTGTTGTATCAAGCAGGCAAGGTACTAACAAGCTTCAACAGGACTTTATTTTTACAGTGGAAACCTCTTTTCCAAGCTGCACACTCTGTAACTCTCACTCAGCCTCCCCAACTCCTCCCTGTTTCCTGTTCTTTCAGACTCCCAACAGCCAGTGCTCCCAGTTCTAATTATCATTACAAGCACATCTAAACACCATAGGGGGGCACCGAGTAGAGAAACCTGAACAGCACCTACTGCTCCATGAAAGAGTCTGTGGAGCAAGTGAAAACAGAGGAACTCTGCCTGGAGATGTGACTTAAGGGAGAATCAGAAATAGGCCCCACAATTGCAGAGCACCTTCCCATCCAACATCCTCCTTCTGGTATAGTAGATAGCCACTTTGGCCAGTGCCAGCCAAGAGACAGTTGATGAGGAGGTGTCAGCTCACCCGAGGTTGCAAGAGTTAGCATAGGGTGGAGTCGTGTATCCCTCGGTAGATTTTATCTCTCTGCCCACCAATCCTATAGTGACTTTGCAGGCTGTTAATTTTATCACTGAATTAAGCAAAGGGCACAAGTTGAGTGGTAGAGCAGATAATGTTTATGGAGACTGTCTTCTAAAAGGAAGAAGTGTAGGAGGAGGGAATGCAATGGGATGAGTGTAGTTGCCTGATATTTCAGTCTTCTGAAAGCACCGTTGTGTGGCTGCTCAGCTGCATCAGTGTTTAATAGAGCAAAGGGGAGAAATAGGAATGGAGAAGCAACCCTATCCCCCCTTTAAAAAAAACCTCCAAGTGCATTAAAATAGGTGATAGTTTATAATGTCCTTCTAAAAGCAAAGTATAAAATTTTGCATACTCAGTGGGGAAAAGGATTGGTAGAGAACAAATTGGCAAAGGTGACCATTGCTGTAGGTGTAGAATAGAAAACATCTGACCTCTCCTGAAAGATTTTGTCCTTGCCTTCAACTACCAATACTCATCAAAACACCATTTGTTTCTTAAAAGTGAAATTGTGTGTTTACATTTTAATACCCCAAACTCTAGTAAGTTTGCAGGAGAGGGGGGGGGAATCTTTTTGTAGAACAAGTGCTTGTCATCATGGTGAGTGACTAGGGTCAGCAGAAAATGATTAATTATTTGGGTAATAATGGGGTGTCTGTGATGCGCCAGATGCTTTATAAACCAGAAGGAAGACTCTGAAGAACTTATGCCGAGGATGATTTAGTTGGTGTTGGTCCTGCTTTGAACAGGGGGTTGGACTAGATGACATCCTGAGGTCTCTTCCAACCCTAATCTTCTATGAAAAGGTTAAAGGGTGGGGGAAAGGAGAACATAAATGTGAAGTGGCCAAGTTAGCAATTAGTAATTTGCTTGAGACACTTTGACTAACCCTCTTTCCAGTCATACTTTTAACTGTTAGTTAGCTAACTTCTTGTGGGTATCATTCTCAAAAAGGTCTTCTGAGGGATCTGACTGTGATGAAAGCAGTGGGTTTATGCACCAACTCAGAAAAGGCAGTTATTTACCCATAGACATCTGCAAAACTAACTCATCCTTCAAAGTCCTCCATAAAATTCTTTGGTATGAGGCCTACAAAAAAAATAGACTACAGCTTGGCTGAGACCACACCAACATTGTCTCAATTTCCTTGTACGCCCCCGACCCCATTTGTCCATACCCATCTGTTGTTCATTTTATACTTAAAGTGTAAGCTCTTTGGAGGCAGGGACTGTCTTTTTGCTCTGTGTTTGTACAGTGAGGTCCTGATCTGTGAGTGGGGCTCCTATGTGCTGTGATAACACAAAATAACAATAGTTGTAAGGAGTGGCATGGAAGAAAGTGGGAAGATCGTTGGAGGAGACAAAAGGGGACTGTGCAGTGAGTATCAGTGGCAGGCAACAGACTTAGGACTGATCTACACTCAAAATTTACATCAGCATAACTACATTTCCCAGGGATGTGAAAAATCCACACCGCTGAGAAATGTAGCTATGCCGACCTAACCCCTGGTGTAGACGGCAGTAGGTTGACCGAAGAATTCTTCCATCAACCTAGCTACCACCTCTCAGGAAGGTGGATTAACTACCAGCGATGGGAGAAGTGCTCCTGTCACTGGCTACAGGGAAGTGCTACAGCTGCACAGCAGCTCTGGTACTGTAGTGTTTTAAGTGGAGACACAGCCTTAGACAAAATAAGTTACCATGTAGGCAATGTCTTAAAAACAAGGACAAATAGCTTGAACTTGCTGTAGCTTAGAAGGAACGATGCATTGGAGTTGTATTATCTATTCTGCTGCTTCCCCTACAGTAGAGATCCCATTTTCACATATGGGGGGACCAAGGGCCAAAACTACTGCTGAAACACAGGATCTTCCTGTGGGAGCCTTGACTTTAGCTGATCTGAGGGGACTTGTAGGCAGGTCTTCCTTCCACCCTTATTTTGCAAGAAGGATAAACCCCATTTCTCCCCTCTCCTGGTAATGAAGGCTTCCTCTTCCCAAGGACCCTCCGCTGGGTTTTGCTGTGGTGGGGGCAGTCCAGACCACACTTTGGAGAGGCAGCTGATGTGAAGTTGTGGGAGGGGCGAGTAAACACAAGCCTCGCTAAACCAGTGCGATGCCCCTATGCGATTTCATCTCATTCAGAAAAGACACCTTTTGGAATTCAGAGTAAAGAAATGATTGGTTTATTACATTGAAAAAGTGAGCACTGGCCAGCGAGCCATTTGTATGGTAAAGCCAGAGGGCATGTGTGAACCTGCTGTAGTGATAAGGCTGAGTGGTTTCTTCTTACTGAGCAGCGGATTGTTGTAGTGCTTGGACTTCCTGCCAACAACCCTCCTCTGAAGAAGGGAACATAAAGACAACGGAACACAGAGGCAAAAGTGACTTGTCCAAGGCCAGAGAGAGGGTCCAGTTTTGCACCTGGCCAAGTCAATGGGAGCAAATAAAAGCATATCATAAGAGGCAATTGGCATCGACTAGCCTAAGTCAATTCTAATAGCACTATCTAAAGGTATTTGGAAAAAAAAAACAAAAAAAAAAAAACTCGTGATCTATTTCTCCTCTTCCCCCGACAATGAGTTGTACATGGTTTAGTCTTCACCACCACAGAGCACAAGTAGGACTTTCTTATAGTCTCCTGAAGTGTCTCCCTGAAAGAAAGAAAGAAAGAAAAAAAGAGTGAGAGAGACATGATTAGACGTGCAACAAGCGTCCCCAGAAAAGGCTGTACAGGATCATTTATACCAGTTTGAGATGATTGTAGTTGTCCCCATGTGATTTTGTATTTCTCTGCCAACTTAATGTTTGATAACATTTAAGGAGCACCTTTCATCCCAGAGTACCTGACACACATTGATCATGTATAAGGACACATTGCCCACCACTAAAATGCAGTGAGGTGGAATGCAGGAGCTATTACCGTGTGTGACAACATCCCACAACCATTTTAAGTTAATATTTTATCCAATTGAAAATGCAAAGTTGATTAAAACAAATCAAGCAATAAGGATCAATCGAATGAGAAACCACTACAGTATTAAAATATGAAATCCAACTACAGGAGTTTTGAGATTATAAAAAAAAAAAAAAAAACCACACCTGCCCATTAACCCTTTGAGGAATCCAAACCAATGTTTCTAAGACTCCCAGTTTATAGTTATAGAAGGTCGACAAATAAGCGTCCTCTGTCCACAAGACATTAAGCTATGCTTCAGATCCAACTCAGAGGGTGAGGGCAGAAATCTCACTTGGATAGCCAGTACAAAGGGGCTGGATGGTATTATCTTAGTATTCATCAACAGACCAGGCAGACTGACATTACTGGAAAACAGTTAAACAATCCTAACACCAAAATTTGTAAGGGCAATGCAAGTCAGGATTAGAGCTGGATCAAAATTTAAAATATAAGGCAAAAACAGTTTTAAAGTTTAAATTTTGTGAGGTTTGAGATGGACCCAATTTTTCAATCCTTTTTGGAAGTTTTCTGAATTTCTTTTCTGATTTTTCCACTTATTGTGTATTTCCCCTCTTTCCTTCTCCCTGGTCATTTTCAAAAATATTTTGATTTTTTTTTTGAATGCCTGGTGAAAAAACAAAAATATACATCAAGAATGGACAATTTCATACACTTAGTCATCCTCCCACCTCCCCCAAAAAGCTGTTCAAGAATAGCAGCTTCTTGTTTGAAAAATGTGGACCAGTCACTGGTCAGAATAGAGGGGCAAAGTGGCTGGTGCTGTGTGCAGCAAGACCATGGTTTCTAGGAAAGGAAAGCTTACCTGGATGAAGGAGTAGAGAGATTTCCCGTACATCGTCTTGAATTCATGCCTGATATCCAACATGTCAATTTCACACCGCGACACCATCACTCGAATGAGTGTATCATCATCCGTCCCTAAACCCTAAAGAAAAAAGCAACCCTTGTACAAATATTGTGCATTATGGGTAAATCATTGTTAATGGTCAAGGTTTCATCCATACTTTCTGGGTGAAAAATTAGCCCAAAGCATTTTGCATTGAGTGTGACAGAGTTCCCTATTTTCAGCATATAATGGGGCAATGCCAATTTTGTCCCTTAGCAAAGGAGGAGAGGAGATCCATGATGATTATGAACCGCTTGGGTTGCTGCCCTCTCTCCTCTCCCCCTGCAGTATTAAATCCAGCTGCTATTTATTTTAGCATGCCTCTATATTTAATTGGGGGGGGGGGGAACCACATACACACAAAAGCTATTTACCTTCATGGAACCGTATAATCTTTCAGCAAAGTATGCATGCTTATTCCTTATGCATTTTACTGTGAAGAGAAAAGAACAAGGGAGATTTTCCAAATCTTTCAGTTTCAAGGCTGCAGTTACTGCTTAAACCTCCCATCTGTATGGGAGGTTAGTGGCGGATGCAGAGGTCTGTCTGCAGATCCATTTGCAGAATCAGGGCCAAAATGTGCACATCCCTGACTATTAGTCCAAGAAGCTCCAAGGTATGGATTTAGAGGCCACTGGACAAGCTGATAAATACAGCAAGGTCAATGCAAAAAGAACGAGCCCCTTCAAATAAACCTGAAGTCTTGTCCATCACAGTTCAGCCACTTGTTTAAAGTTTGCAATGCTCTTTGAGAAGTGTCAGCACCCTTAGCACCTGGTGGCAAAGGTAAACAATGAGAGTGGAAGCAGTGGAACTTTTGCCGTCTTGTTCACAGCCACTTGCCGTATTTGCAAGGCGTAAGACAGCGTGACCTGTGCCAAGAACGGAGACAGTTACTGGCCATCAACAAAGCGTGTCCCCTGCACGTTGCTCTGTGAAGACAGTGGGCAAGAGACACAGCACGGCTAAAGATGGATGTCTCGCTATGCCAAGGTGAAGCAAGCTTAATACTTTAGCTAAAACGCTAATGTCTCCTGCAATGGAGAAAGTGATTTTAACTTGAGGGCCACACACTTCGTTGCTTTGAAAAGCAAAGCACTTTGCACACATCACAGGCTCCTTGCATTTCATCCCTGTCCACTCTCCCATCCTCCTCTATTTCAGGGACTACCTATGGATTTGAAAGTTAACCAAGCTTCAACTCCATGGCTTCTGTGCTCGAGGCTGACAGAAGCGATCCTTTCCCATTCTACACCCCGACAGTCTGTTGTGTAACTTAACAACCCTAAATTTAAAACCGGAATACTCACCCACAGCTAATAAGGCATCTTCGAGGTCCCCCGACATCTCAGATTTAATGCTTTCTGTAATGTCCTTCTTAGCAATCCTTCTGTATTCATCAAAGACTAGAAAAGGACACACACTAATGAAAAGTCATCGAGCAAGATTTGTTGGTGCTGTCTACAAAGACTTAACCATCAAGGACCAGTTTGCCAGGTCAAGCAATTGAGTACTTTGTATGCACATTTTGCCTTTCTTTTTTAAATGGTAGACAACTGCAGTTGTCCTGGAAACCATTCAGTTTATCTTCATTTTAACGATCAGTTTTCTAATTGGTCAGTCAACAACTGCTGGTAACAGGGTCATGAATTATTACTTAATGGGGTCAAGTTGAGTTGCTTAACTTTCCCACTTGGTTCAACATTTTGCCACAAGGGAAGCTTTGCCATTTCGCCAGTAGTATTTGCAACCAGCCAGCTCTGCAAGAGCCACTAACAAGATCACTGGTTTCAGAGTGGTAGCCGTGTTAGTCTGTATCAGCAAAAAGAACAAGGAGTCCTTGTGGCACCTTAGAGACTAACAAATTTATTTGAGCATAAGCTTTCGTGGGCTAAAACCCACTTCATTGGATGCATGCACCAGAAAATACAGTAGGAAGATATATATACACACACACACAGAACAGAAAAAATGGGTGTTGCCATACCAACTATAATGACACTAATCAATTAAGGTGGGCTATTATCAGCAGGAGAAAAAAAAAAAAAAACCAACCACACAACTTGTAGTGATAATCAGGATGGCCCATTTCCAACCATTGACAAGAAGGTGTGAGTAACAGTAGGGGAAAAATTAGCCTGGGGAAATAGTTTTTACTTTGTCTAATGACCCATCCATGCAATGAAGTGGGTTTTAGCCCACGAAAGCTTATGCCAAAATAAATTTGTTAGTCTCTAAGATGCCACAAGTACTCCTCGTTTTAACAAGATCACTACAGACCATGCTTTGAGAACTTCTGATCCAGCAGAATGGTGCCTGTCTTTCTTCCTTGTAGGAGGAATGTTGGCAAGAAACTTGCTTCTAAATTCCTATCCTTGGTAACTGTCGCCAAAGTCCCAGTTTACTACCTCTGGTATAAAGACTGGAGTATAGGTGATCCATACAAGTTAGTTCTGGTCTCTCTCGAGTTCCTTTTAGGCTCACAAGAATAGGTTCCTATATTAAAATACTCTGAAGTAGATACATAGGACCAGACTCGGCCTGTGCCTTTGAGAAGGGTCCCTTTCTATTTGCCAAGAGATGTACCTAAAAAAGGTGCTTTAAAAAAAAAAAAAAAGTATGTAGAAAATTGCTGAGACTTTTACCCTTTAATAAGTGATATCTGTTTCTTGAACAGAGGATAGTCAGGAATTGTCCCTCATTTGTTCCCCATTTCTTCTCCCCGGCTTCATACAAGCACTAGAAAGAATCAAGCATATGAAATAAGGGTTAGCCCAAAAGCTCAAGTAAAGCAAGAGAGCTTGGGTCTTCCAAAAAGATCATTATCCCATTTTACACATGGGGAAACTGAGGTGCAGAGACTTGTCCAAAGTCATCCAGGAGCAGAGTCAGGACTAGAACCCAGATCTTCTGGGTCCCAGTCCAGTCCACTACAAAGATGCCAGCTAAATGGTTGAGGACTTTCACTGTCCTGTCACTTCCAACAATGGATGGAAGGACCGGAGGTTCAGCAAACATCCACAATGGTGGGGCAGATTTTTCTTAAAGATACAAAGAGCTACAGACCTGGGCATCTTGCTGAGCAAGGCCTTCATCCACATAGTTTCCCTGGTCCCTGTTTCCCTGCAGAAACACAAGAGGGCTGTGTTAAATTCAGCCTTTCGGAGGGGCAAATAGAAAGAGTCCAGCAAGCTTGCTGTTTGAAACAAGTTACCAAGCATATATAACAGGGGTCGGCAACCTTCCAGAAGTGGTGTGCCGAGTCTTCATTTATTCACTGTAATTTAAGGTTTCGCGTGCCAGTAATACATTTTAACGTTTTTAGAAGGTCTCTTTCTATAAGTCTATAATATAGAACTAAACTATTGTCGTATGTAAAGTAAATAAAGATTTTAAAATGTTTAAGAAACTTCATTTAAAATTAAATTAAAATGCAGAGCTCCCCAGACTGGTGGCCAGGACCCGGGCAGTGTGAGTGCCACTGAAAATCAGCTCGTGTGCTGCCTTCGGCACGCGTGCCATAGGTTGCCTACCCCTGACATATAATGAGTATCTATTGAGAAAGCAGCTGCAATTATGCAACAGAGTGTTGCAAGAGGGGTGATGGAGAAAGCTCTGAAATATTATTTAAGGGCCTGATTTTATTTATTTTTAAGAGGTGCTGAGGACTCAACTCCATCTGATGTCAGTGGGAGCCATGGGCCCTAAGAAAGCACATGGTGTTAACAACAAACACCCTCTAATTCCTGCCCCACCCCGGCCCACCCCCTGAGCAGCCTGCCCTTCGGGTCAAACCAATATGATACAGATACCAGCTGAAATGCAAGGGGGCATGGAGGGAGTCCTGCAGGAGATCAGCAGGGGAAGGCTGTGCAGTAGGAGCAGGGGAAGGATGCCTAGGAAGGGGATAAAAAGAGCAACTTGCAAAGCAGAGAGCAGGAGAAGGAACCAGATGAGAGGGAGGATTAGTACTAGTATTTAATACAACTCTGTCTGATCTCTTTTACAGTAGTGTAACTCCACTGACTTCCATTGTGCTACCCCTGACCTATGTCAGTGTAAGAGAGATGAGAATCAGGCATTCATGGTACTGAGTATAGAGAGACCTCATCACTAAAACAAGGTGCTGTACTGCTTTAGTGAAGACGCTACTACGCTGACAGGAGAGCTTCTCCCGTCGCCGTAATTAATCTACCTCCGCAAGAGGCAGTAGCTATGTCGACAGGTGAAACCCCCTCTCACCCACGTTCAACATAACACTGTCTACACTGGGGGTTAGGTTGGTATAACTGTCACTCAGGGGTGTGATTTTTCAACGTGAGCAATGTAGTTAGATAGCTGTCCATTTCTTGTGGAGACCTGCCCTTAGGGGATTTGTTCAACAGCAACAAGAACCAGATTGTTTTTCTTAACCTGGACTTACTGTAGCTAGAGACACCAGCACGCGGCGGAACATGGAAGATGTATCTGAGACAATGTCCTTTTCAAGGGTAGTTCCATATTCTAGCAAGAGAGCACAGACATATGTGGATACTTGCTTTTAACAGAGAGAAAGTTCAGCACCTAAACACTGTTCATCTTAGAGAAGTCTTCTACATGTCAAGCCGTGACCTAGGTGTCTGGAGTATGCATCTGTCCCTCAATTTCTGAACCTGCCTTCCTAGGAATTGCCACATTGACCCTGGATCTTATTCTTCTCTCCCTTTGCACCAGTGTAAGTGACTTCAGTGGAGTTGCTCTGGATTTAGGCCAGTGTATGTGAAATTAATCAACTGAGTTACACAGTTGTAAGGGAGGAGAAGCCAATCTGGATCATTCTCTCTAAAATAAATCTGAGCCTGTTCCACACACCAAGTTGCACTGGTTTAACTAAAGGCGTTTTGTTAATCTGGTGCAAACCTCTGTATGGAGACACTTATCACTTGAACCCTGGATTATAGTTGGTTAGCTACGTAGTGAGGCAGAGTGGCCTCCCTCCGAGCCTGAAACGGAGGGACCACTACAAGCCACCATCTGTAAATATATAGACAAGCTGAAAAAGGAGACAAACTAGTTTAAAACTTCTGTCTATACAGGGATTTGAACCAGTTTAAGTCTATTTTTAAAAGCAGTTTTGACCATTATTATTTGTATTATTGCCACACCTAGAGCCCTAGTGACAGACCAGGATCCCAGTACAACTTCTGAGTGAAATCCTGACTCTTGATGTCAGTGGGAGTTGAGCCATTGACTTCAGTGTTGCCAGAATTTCACCCTCTCTGTGTTTAGAGAAGGCTTAAGTCTCTGTCCACTGAGCATAAATTATGCAGGCACACTAGGTCACGATCAAGTGAAAGGCAGACAGAAAGAAGGTATCGCAACACCCAGTCTCTTGCTCTCACTACGATGCTTCTTAGTTTCACAAGATGTCTTTCTGATTGTTCAGTTATTGTTTGGTTGAACTGCTAGCAGCGAGAGCTATTGGAGAAATCCTGTGGGGTGGGTAAGATACCATTCATAGGATAGTTTTTAAAGCCCGAGTGGGTTGTTTTTAAATCTTTAGAGAGAGGTGTGTGTGTGTGTGTGTGTGTGTGTGTGTGTGTGTGTGTGTGTGTGTGTGTGTGAGCGAGAGAGAGCACACTTTCACAAATATCTTCTACCTCTAGATCAACATAAGTAGTGCATACAGTATTTAACCATTAATAATAAAATCTGGTGAAAACACATTTGCTGGCTGGGACATTTAAATGTTTTTGGGGTCAAGAGGAGGTGGGAATTTCTCAGCCTTAGGAAAGTGATTTAAGCCTTGGTTCAGGAAAGGATCCCTAAACACATATTTAGCTTTAAGTATGTTGTCACAGTTCAGGGCAACCGCACCCGTGTTCCCCCTCCATGTTCAGCAAAGGCACCAACTCTAGGCTCCCCAGTCATCACCTCTCTAGTGCCGAGATGCATGTCTCTCTCCCGCCTGATAGGGATTTTTCCAGGCTGCACAGCTCCCTGGCTACGCTGCGAGTTCCCCAGCAAGCCAGACTCCCTGAACAGACCTGCATTTGTACTTTGCTTTCTCCCCAAAGGCTATGAACTGTGGCAATTGCCCACAGTTATAAGTTACCACACAGCTTTTCCTAAGCAAGCACATTTATTCTTAAGGTGAAAGCATTAAAGACAGTAAGAGTTCCTCTGCACATGCTAAAAATCTTACCAGGTCACCCATCAGTCATATGGGGCCTCAGTAGGCCAAATTCCTTCCAAGTTCCAATCCTTCCTAGGAAAGATTGGGGCCACCCTTAGATAGAAAGTCCTGTCCATTTGCTGGATCAGAAACAAAGTTGTGAGCAGGGGCGTGCACAAGGGGGGGGGGCAAACAGGGACATGGACCCCCCCTCCCAATGATCGTCAGGGGCACAGAACTCCTCCAGCCCTGGGGCCACAGTTGTATGGAAAGCAAGCTCCTTCCGGACCCAAAGGGGTCAAAGTTAAATTTCTGCACACGCCCCTGGTCGTGAGTGAGTTTAAACGCACGTTATTTATCCAAAAGTCCTTTCTTTGTCTGTTGGTCTCTGGAGAATCCAGTTCGATGCAGTATATGCAAGCATCTCCAGGTTGTGGTACCTCTCTGGAGGGGTTATAACCCAAGTGAATTTACCTCCCACTGTTAGTTCCAGGAAGACGGAGGTCATCCTCGCCCATGGAATTGCATACAATCCCTGGCCCACAATGATACATAAACTTAATACAGTGAGATCTCCCAAAGATATTACAGGACATTGCCATATCTATTACACATGTGCTTAATCAGTGGAACTTAAGCACATGCCAAAGTGCTTTCCTGGATCTGGGACACAGTTGGGACCTCATGCAAGCTTCCCCACTTGTTCTCCCAGTACAGGTTACTCTCAATGCACTAACATCATAGCATCTCATAATTTATACTACTTACGACGATGGTAGGTCTCATTAATGCGCTGGATTTCTTCACTGGAACGAGAAGCCAGAATTTCGATCAGGCAGCCCTCGTCTGTCCCTGCACCCTAAACGCGGAACAGAGAATCAGGATGAAAGCTGCTTCCAATCTACCAGCAAACAGAGGCACCTTGATGGCAACAAAGGACTGAGAATCAACTCTCTTGAGTAATAGTCCAGGATCTGATGAGCACTCCCCCCTGTCTGGGTAAGTCACTTCGTTTCTCTGCCTCCGTTTCACCACTTGTTAAATGGGGATACATTACGGACTTCATGCAATGAGGTGATATTTGTTTGTAGAGCTGGGCGTCTCATGAAAGATTTTGAGATTTAATTTTTTTTTTTTAAAGTCCCATTATGCAACAGGATGAAACTGAGACCATTTGAGAGTTTTTACAAAGAAGCAGAGAGGCACAGATACTCCACTCACCCCAAAACAGACAGGGGGTAAAGGCACTCACTTTTGAAATCGGAGACCCAAATTCAAATCCCTGTTATGTATAATTCGGGCCAGAAACATCAATCTGGGTCTCTCACATCTTAGGTTATCGATTAGTTTTCTCACCAGACATTCCATCCTGGACCCAAGAAACCTTTTCATCCAAGCAGACCCTTCCCACAAAAAATATTTGGTTTGGACAAGTCTGCATTTTCCAACAAAAAAAGTGTTGTTAAAAAGCTCCCGACCAGCTTTAGATGTTTGTACAGTGCTTTGAAAATGCAGAAAGTTATACAAATGCTAGGCTATTGAAGGCCAAAAGTATAACTGGGTTAAAAAAAGAACTAGATAAATTTCTGGAGGAAAGGTCCATCAGTGGCTATTAGCCAAGATGGTCAGGGATGACCATACTCCGGGCATCCCTAGACTCCTGGCTGCCAGAAGCTGGGACTGGACAACAGGGGATGTATCACTTGAAATTGCCCTGTTCGGTTCATTCCCTATGAAGCATCTTTCATCAGCTGCTGTCATTAGGCAGTTTACTAGGCTAGACGGACCACTGATCTGACTCAGTGTGGCCATTCTTAGTGCATAGAACGTGTACCTCTTTCAGTGTCGAGCCCAAATTTGCAAATGGGTAGCAGCATAAAGGACGTATGAACAGCCCTTAATGTGAAAGTAATTCAAATTGCAACTTTTAACAATCTAGCTGTCTTATACCCAACACATCACCATGTTCATTTTCTTATCGCACAATAGAACAAAATGGAAGAACATAGTTCAGAAAGTGTTTGAAGATTTAATGCACACGTTCTATTCAGCAAAAATAACGAGGAGTATTTGTGGCACCTTAGAGACTAACAAATTTATTTGGGCATAAGCTTTCAGGGGCTAAAACCCTGAATAAAGACTGGGAGTGGATGGGTCATTACACAAACTAAAAAACTATTTCACCATGCTAATTCCCCCCCCCTACTGTTACTCACACCTTCTTGTCAACTGTTTGAAATGAGCCATCCTGATTACCACTACAAAAGTGATTTTTCCTCCTGCTGATAGCCCACTTTAATTGATTTGTCTTGTTAGAGTTGGTAAGGCAACCCCCTTCTTTTCATGTTCTCTCTGTGTGTGTGTGTGTATATATATATATATATATATATATCTTCCTACTGTATTTTCCACTTCATGCATCTGATGAAGTGGGTTTTAGCCCACGAAAGCTTATCCCCAAATAAATTTGTTAGTCTCTAATGTGCCACAAGTACTCCTGTTCTTTTTGCTGATACAGACTAACACGGCTACCACTCTGAAACGTTCTATTCAGGTTCTTATACAACCCTCATTAGCTTAGTAGCAGAGAGCACCTTCCAGAATTGTGTTAAGTGACATGACTAGCACCCTGTCGCACATTCTTTCTTTCTCCCTCGGGAGAAGTTGCGTGGGGAATGTTTAATTCATGCCACATATTGAACACACTGGTGTTTTGGTAACGTCAGTGAATATTTACCAACCTTTATGGCCCTCTTCAGTTCCTGCACATCGTACAGTGTGATGGAAGTCATCAATCCAATTATCACCTTCTCAAAATTCCCACTCAGCTCAGACTTCAAATCGCCAATCAAATCCTAGAAAACCAGGGAAGGTGATAAATAGTCATGAGAACAAAAAGCCCCACTCCTCTAGGTAGGTGCTGGAACTAGGAGTGCTGGGCATCCTGCCGCTTCCCTTGGCTTGAAGTGGTTTCCATCATATACAGGGTTTACAGTTTGATTCAATGGCTTTCAGCACCCCCGCTATACAAATTGTTCCGGCACCCCTGCTACTCTATACAAAACTCCTGGCTGAATTCCAGCACTGGTAATTTCAGTACATCCTATCTAACTCCTGCTCTGCAGTCAGCTAGTCCAGTGGTTAGGGCACTAGCCTAGGACTTGGGAGACCAGGTTCAATCCCTTGCTCCACCACAGACTGCATCCTCTTGGGCAAGTGGCTTAGATCTACACCTGAAGTATAGGTTGAACCTAGCTATGTCGCTCAGGAGTGTGAAAATTTCACACCCCTGAGAGATGTAGTGAAGCTGACCTAAACCTAGTGGTGTCTCCACCTGGCTAACGGAAGAATTTTTCCTTGACCTAGCTACTGCCTCTCACAGGGGTAAGTTAAAAAAACCCTTTCGTCGCTGTAGCAAGTGCCTACGCTACAGGGCTAGAGGGCACAGCTGCAGTACCATAGCATCTGTAGTGTAGACAAGGCCTCAGTCTCTCTGGGTTCAGTTCCCCAACTGTAAATCAGGGATCATAGCACTGCCCTGCCTCCTCGGGGCATTGTGGGAATAAACACACTAACGATTGTGAAGCGCTTTGATCTCTACTGATGAATAACCCTACGCGAGAGATTGTTTTGGGAATGATAAGGATACACCTGAGAGGCTATTTTTCACATCTTCTCCCAACATCATCCATGCCTGATTTTAGCAGCTTCGCCATTCACTTGTTAATGAGGGTGTTTAACATTTCTGTCTAAAGCCATTTTCGCTCCAAGTTTTGCTCTTAATCATTGTGGGGATCGGCAAAGGAGAACGTGGGCAGCAACTCAGGGCTAGTTCACACTAGAAAGATGTGCCACTTTATCTATGCCAGTCAGGGCCGGCTCCAGACACCAGCGAACGAAGCAGGCGGCACGTACGGGTCTTCAGCGGCAATTCAGTGGCGGGTCGCTCAGTCCCTCTCTGAGTGAAGGACCCGCCGCCGAATTGCCGCTGAGGAATGAAGCGGCACATTTGAGCTGCCACCGAAGTGCCGCTGATCATGGCTTTTTTTTTTTTCCCTTCGCCGCTTGGGGCAGCAAAAAAGCCTGAGCCAGCCCTGATGCCAGTATAGTTAGTGGTACAACCCGCCCCCACCTCCCACTGGGGATGCAGGTAGACCAGTATAAAGGTGCTTAGTCTGGTATAGCTGTTTCTGGTTCAGTAAGCAAAGGTTACCTTTATACTGTAAGCTCTTTGGGGCATCTTTTTATTGTGTTTGTACAGCACCTAGCACAATGGGCTCATGGTCCATGATTGAGGCTCCTAAGACTACAATAATACACATTAATAATAATACTGGTATAACTGAGTCCACACTACTGCATACACTGGTATAACTATCAATAAAAGATACATTTCTAAAGGACATAAGGTGTACCCATATAACTCTTCTAGTGTGGACCAGGCCTTAGAATAATATCTTTGTTGGCATTGTAAGGCCGATCATTTTTGAAGCCCTCCCAAGAGACTTTACTTCTTGGTGCCTCCTTTTAATCCATCTAAACGGAATACACGAAACTTACCGGGGTATGACGAGGACTGATTCATTAATGGGTTTTTAAAAGGCTTTGGGATCCTCAGATGAAAGGCACCATAAAAAGCAGGAAGAATTTAAACAAACACAAACAAAAAACCCCCAACCAACACAAAAACACGCCTTTAAGCAGATCACTGCAATGTGACCCTTATTTGGAAACTAGGCTAGTTTTCTTAATGCTTGTCACACTCTTTGAAGCCTGTGAATCAGACTGTTGCTGTACTTATGAACAATCTTGTAGGTATGGTAGCCTTAAAGTAAACTAGTAAAGTAGATTACATCGCAGTTAGCACTAAATCCTTGAAAAGCATGGTTGATTTGCTTGTTAATGGATGGAGCATGAGGGGTAGGGCATAGTGGGGTGAATTACCAGGTGTGCAAGTGACTATTAAAGTGGGTCAGTAGTTCACACTGCCATGAGTTTTATTAGCAGTGGCCTCCAGTGAACAGATCTGTTTCCCTGTAACCACTTTCTTTACAGGCACAGAAGAGCCTGCTCAACAAACAAGCAGCATGTGCTCAGAATGTTTACACAAGATAAAAGGTAAGGCTTTAATATCAGGTTAAGCAAGTTAAACTGATTCATCCATTAACCCCTTGGTGTCAGGGGAGCTGGACATTCAGCAGCCCTTCTCACCATGGGCATAGGCCAGAGGGTCAGAGGATCCACGAAATTGGAGTGCTCAGCTTGAGATCCAGAGCTTGCCGGGCATCCAGATACCAGCAGCTCACCTTGACTTCAGTTTTGGGGGAGTTAGTACTCAGCACCTCTGAAAAAACTGAACTCCAATGTCAAAAAACCTCCAAACCCCTGAAAATTAGTGGAGACTTGATGATTTGGGCTTTAAGGTCTGATCCAAAGCCCATTAAACTCAACAAGTGTCTTTCCATAGACTTCAGTGGTCAATGGGCAAGGCATCGAATGCCTAAACAGAAGTTATATGGCAGAAGAGTCCATAAGCAGGGGCGGAACAGTCATAACTTAGTCATTCTCACTGAGCAGCTGGGTACAACTTGGATGGTCACCGTAGGATTGTTAGGTACCAGTTGTGCCAAGTGTCACAGGAAAAGTCACTTGCAATATAATCTCGGGTATGATTCATTACATCGGTGCCATGTGGTATTAAGGATCATCCACTAGATAGCATAAAGGCAAGCATGTAGATAGATTGCTTGACCACATTTCTGCTACATTTTGGTGGATAATCTTAACGGGTACCTTACAATTTTCTTTGGACAAGCAACTGCACTGAAGTGAACGGAGATTGCAGTGAGCTTTGTGCTAAGGCCAGCAAAAGTTGTGTCTTGCCTCTCCACAACTGAATGAGGCATTAATTTTCCAGACAAGTCATGTAGTCCAGGAATTGTCTAGATCATAATCATCAAATTCAGAGGCTACCTACCCTGCCAATAGTGGATTTATAGGCGATTAAAATTTCCTGACGTTGGAATATGCTCCTCTTGGCCACGATATCGATGATGGCATCTTCATCTGTACCTGGGGGAGACACCGGAAAGCCAGCCAGATATTTATAATATTAACAAAGTATTAATTTTGAAGCAGGCAACTCAGCTGACTTGCCAGGTGTGACACAAACCATTTTTATTCCTTCTAAAATCTGATTTTCTACGGCACTAGAGAACCAGCACTAGACCACATGTGTTGGGCTACCATCTTGGCCGACATATCGGGGATTGAACCGGGGAACCTCCAAAGGAAAGCATATGGTGCTAGCTTTCTTTAAAGAGACAGGGTTTCCTTGGTGGGGCTGTAACTGACCCTCATCCTCTGGGGATCGGGTATGGAGGGCACCCTATAACTTTCACTTGTCAGTGGGTTGCACACTCAGAAGCTCTTTAGCATCCCCTTGTTAGGAATGCATTTTACTTGGGCTGTCAGTCTGACCTCATAAGCCCGGCCATCAGTTGGATGGAGACCTCCAAGAAAACAGATGTGGGCACTGACAGTTTACAAGCGAGCCCTCTTCCCACAGAGGCAGTCCTGACATAGTACCCTAATAGGGTGTTGGGAGCACCCTATTCCAGGAGAGACAAATCATAGACTGATTAAAGACAGTCTTGCGGTTAAAGCCAGGGCTTGGAGCTGAGTTCAGTTCCCAGCTGTGCCACAGATTTCCTGGGTGACCTTGGAAGGAATCCCTGCATCCCTTTCTGTGCCTTAGTTCCCCCATCTGGAGAGTGGAGATAATGATGCTTCCTTACTTTTCAGGAGTGCTGTGGGGATAGATTTATTATCCATGTGTGAATGAGCAGCTGAGATATTATAGTGATAGACAGGTAGGCTTCAGCTGCTCTCCATGATCAAACATCCAGAAAACAAAAACTCCACCTGCTTCCTGTAGGGTTGGAGGCAGTGCTGTCCTTTCCCAATCTGGGGATGACATTCTGCCCCTTTAAATTCCCTCTGCTCAGATAGTGTTAAATTGAAATTCCTTCCATTTGGATAATGTTCTTTATTTGTGCCAAAGCTGCCTTGTAGTGTTATATACTGCATAACAGCTGCCCTGTTCCACCCCAGAAGCGGCTGCATTTCATGACTGGATGAGGTGATCCCCACCTCCTGTTTGTAGAGAGCTCGGGGGAAGGGGGGCCAGGAGTCAGTAGAGAAACACAAGTTACCAAACTTTTGCTCTAGTGAGCTGTACGACATGCAGGATGCTGGCACTCTGAGGCGAGAGGGTTAGAGGCATAAAAATAAATACAAGCTCACCAAGCCCCTTCATGGCCTTCCTTAACTTCTGTGCATCTTCCTCAGCCCTGAAGCCCAAGGCCGCCTTGATTGTGCCCCGGTTTCCAGCCTAAATATACAGAACATCAATTGTTAAAGACAGAACCAGAGAAGAACACATGAAAAATCCCAGTTATATACAGATTCTCCTGGGAGGAGACCAGTTAGAAAACTGAGGAGGGGGTTTGTGTTTAGATAAAGTGAGAGTCTATTTAGCCGTACAGCAGGTTACATAAGAATGGCCAGACTGAGTCAGATCAATGGTCCATCTAGCCCAGTAATCTGTCTTGTGACAGTGGTGAATGACAGATGCTTCAGAAGGAATGAACAGAACAGGGCAATTATCAAGTGATCTATCGCCTGTCATCCAGTCCCACCTTTCGACAAACAGAGGCTAGGGACACCCAGAGCATGGGGTTGCATCCCTGACCATCTCTGGCTAACACCCATGAATGGACCTATCCTCAATGAACTTACCTAATTCTTTTTTGAATCCAGTTATACTTTTGGCCTTCGCAACATCCCTTAGCAAGGAGTTCCACAGGTTGACTGTGCATTGCGTGAAGAAACACGTGTGTATCAGTTTTAAACCTGCTGCCTATTAATTTCATTGGGTGACCCCTGGTTCTTGAGTTATGTGAATGCGTAAATAACACTTCCCTATTCACTTTCTCTATACCATTCTTTATTTTATAGACCTCTATCATCCCCCATCAGTCATCTGTTTTCCAAGCCCAACTGTCCCAGTCTTTTTACTCTCTCCTCATATGGAAGCTGTTCCATCCCCCTGATCATTTTTGTTGCCCTTCTCTGTACCTTTTCCAATTCTAATGCATCTTTTTAGAGATGAGGCAACAAGAACTGTACGCAGTATTCAAGGTGTGGGCCCATCATAGGTTTATATAGCAGCACTATGATATTTTCTGTCTTATTATCTATCCCTCCCCTAATGGGTCCTAACATTGTTAGCTTTTTTGACTGCAGAGACAAGCTTCCATTCTGCCCTAAGCCGTCGCCTCCCCCTGCAAGAGAGACACTCCTGGGGGGGGGGGGGGGGGGGGGAGGGGGTTCTTTCAATTGAGGATTAAGCCACATTGGCATGGGAAACCCCTGGCTGCTGCCTGCACTGTACTTGTGCTGCAATTCAATAAAGGACTCCATTCTCCTGGGCCTGCCAATCTGGCGCCTTTGTTAAACCCAGTTGTGGCATCTCCCTTTAGTATCAATAGTTATCCAGATCATCATGAAAGAATCAATTCCCTATAAGGCTCCTACATGGCACTTTTACAACGGTGGGCAAATACCATCCTTTCCTTTTTTCACATGGAGAAACAGAGGCTCCAAGAGGTGTGACTTGATCATGTCAGAGAGATTAGAACCCGGATCTTGACACCCAATCCAGGGCCAGATCCACTGACTCACGCTGCTTGCTTCTGTTCCCACTGAACAATGAGAGTCTTTCCATTAACTTCAATGCTCAATGCATAAGGCCATTAGGCCCCCATCCTGAAAGGTATTTAGGCACCTCACTCACACTGAAATAAATGGGAATAGGTGCCTAAATACCTTTGAGGATCTGGGCCTTAATGCCTAAACAGGAGCTATCTGGCAGGAGAAGCTTAGGCATTTTCCACGAATAGCTGGATACAACTTGGATGGGAACTGTAGAATTCTGAGGAACCTGTTGTGCTTACTGTCATAGGACTAAGCGACCTCTTGACGTCTTTTCCAGCCGATAGCAAAGCTCATTGATTTTGGTGCAAGACCTGGCCGTTAGTAGATATATAGATTACTGAAGTTAATCCACATTCTAGTATGAGGAAGTAGGCAGCAATGAGTCCTTCCCACTGTGTCAGGCAGTGCTAGCCTCTTCTTGCTACATCATTTATCTAAGTAAATATAATTGCACTGATCAGATAAATGTAGTCAATGCAGGGACTGAGTCTACCTAGCACTGCCTGGTACCTGTAAGCAAACACACTCACCTTTGCCATAGTATTCAGTTAATATTTTAATGTCAAGGTACCCAAACAGATGATTATCTGCAATAAAAAAAGAGGGAGTGTTGATAAAAAGGGAGCATCCTAGAAAATAATTGACAGAATTCACCCTCTCTGCTTCTATCCAAAGGTCACTTAAATCACTGGGGCTAGTTCTTCTTGACACTGTAAAGAAATAACATAACTGCTTCATTCTTCGAGGCAAAAGGCAGTAACTGTCCACCAACATTCTTGATACAGTGGGTTACATTCACCTTTGAGATAACTACTTACATCCGAGTTGTACTGAACAACCAACTATTATTAACAGTCAAAAGCAGATTAAGAATTACAGCGATACTTACCACATTTGGATATTTATAGATATCCATGACTTCAAATATCAGATTGAACCACTCTAAACATATGCTGGTTTCTGATAAGTATAAAGGGTGGGATTGCCAGAGAAACATGAAATTTCATCTGGGAGTCGGGTGCTTAACTGCGTTAGGTTTCTTTGACAATCCTACCTTTTGATGCCTTCAATTTACAGTACAACCTCTTTCCTTCACCCTAACGAGCTCTTTTGGACAAGGATTGCCTTTGTAGTTCTGGATTTGTACAGCACCGAACACGATGGAGTCCTGATCCATGACTAGGGCCGATAAGTATTATTGCAATACAAATAATAACGAACACATCATTTCATAGAATCATAGAAGATTAGGGTTGGAAAGAGAACTCAGGAGGTCATCTCATCCAACCCCCAGCTCAAAGCAGGACCAACACCAACTAAATCATCCCAGCCAGGGCATTGTCAAGCTGGGCCTTAAAAACCTCTAAGGATGGAGAGTCCACCTCCTCTCTAGGTAACCCATTACAGTGCTTCATCACCCTCCTGGTGAAATAGTGTTTTCTAATATCCATCCTAGACCTCCCCCACTGCAACTTGAGACCATTGCTCCTTGTTCTGTTATCTGCCAGCCACCACTGAGAACAGCTGAGCTCCATCCTCTTTGGAACCCCTCTTCAGGTAGTTGAAGGCTGCTATCAAATCCCCCCTCACTCTTCTCTTCTGCAGACTAAACAAGCCCAGTTCCCTCAGCCTCTCCTCGTAAGTCATGTGCCCTAGTCCCCTGATCATTTTCGTTGCCCCCTTCTGGACTCTCTCCAATTTGTCCACATCCTTTCTGTAGTGGGAGGCCCAAAACTGGACGCAATACTCCAGATGTGGGCTCACCGGTGCCGAATAGAGGGGAATAATCACTTCCCTCGATCTGCTGGCAATGCTGCTACAAATGCAGCCCAATATGCCGTTAGCCTTCTTGGCAACAAGGGCACACTGCTGACTCATATCCAGCTTCTCATTCACTGTAATCCCCAGGTCCTTTTATGCAGAACTGCTGCTTAGCCATTCAATTTTAATTTCAACCAGTTGACATTTTTTAATTTTTACAAAATAAAATTAAAGTTGAGAAACAAAGTAGTTTCAAACCAAAAAGACTGAAGTATTTCATTTCAAAAAGTGTCAAAACAAAACATTTGATTGAGGGGAGGGACAGAGGGAGCAAACCAGCAATTCAGCAGAATCTACACAAATCTGCAAAATGTTTTGGGTGTCAGCGAATCTGAAAATTTTTGCCAAAAAGAATTTCAGCTGGAAATTTTTGCTCAGTTTTAACTAAATTATCCAGAGATCTGGGAAAAATTCTAATTTAGGATTCAGATATTTAGGTATAGGATTTACCCTTCTGGTTTTAATTACCATCTCCTTTAAAAGGCCCAGTGTTCTACACACTTTGTCTGCGTATTTGCAGTTAGAATATATAATTCCATGAAAACCCACAGCTGGAACTTGCTTTTAAAGCTCTGAAGGTTCCATAGACAGTTTATTTGCCATTTCTCAGAGCCCAGTTTTTATGCACATATTTATTTCTGTTTTAATTAAGGAAGCCTAAAAACTATAATTGAACATAATCAAAAGCTATAAAGAGCCTTTCCCATGCTCACTTATTCCAGCTGATGGGGCAGGGAAAAGGAAAAGAGTCACAATTTGGCCCATGCATTTTAAACAAGAATTCACATCTTGTCAATGTCAAGAGCTACTATTTTTATGGTGAACAGCACTTTGAGTTCAATGGAGCTACTGCAGAGGCAGCAGAATTATCCCCCGGAGTCATTTCATGTGACTGTTACAAACCTAGGAGTGCTGTGGGATTATGCTGTTTCAGCAATTTTGATTCAGCTGTGATTTTTGTTGGTGTTTGTGAGAAGTAAGGAGGCCCCATGTGCCGGATTATTAAGAAACACTAGATTACAAGGAGGAAAGACTAGGAGTTGAGACATAAGAACCCATATCCTCAGCTGATGGCAGCTCCATTAAAGTCAATGCAGCTAAGCTAGCTGATTTACCCCAGTGGAGGATCTGGCCCATGTAAAGCTAGCTGAATGTTCTCTTTCTTCTTAGGTTCCATAGTTATTGCAGACATATACAATATTGACCATGACAGCTTGAAGGAAGAGTTAACCATGATGATTAGGCTTTAACTGGAGTATTGCGTCCAGTTCTGGGCACCACATTTCAGGAAAGCTGTGGACAAACTGGGGAAAGTCCATAGGACAGCACCAAAATTGATTAAAGGTCAGGAAAACATGACCTATGAGGAAAGATTGAAAAAACTGGGTTTATTTAGTCTGCAGAAGGTAAGACTTGGGGGTGGTTATGATAACAGTTTTCAGGTACGTAAAAAATTGTTACAAGGAGGAGGGTGAAAAATTGTTCTCCTGAACCTGTGAGGATAGAACAAGAAGCAATGGGCTTAAATTGCAGCATGGGAGATTTTGGTTAGGAAGTTTTTTCTAATGTCTGTCAGGGTAGTTAAGCATTGGAACAAATTGCCCAGGGACGTTGTAGAATCTCCATTATTAGAGGTTTTTAAGAACAGGTTAGATAAACACTTGTCCAGAATAGTCTAGTTATTATGTAGTCCTGCCTTGAGTGCAGGGGATTGGACTAGGTGACCTACTGAAGTCCCTTCCAGTCCTACACTTCTAGGATTCTGTGTTGTGACATTCTCCATTTCCCTCATTCTAGACCTTCCATTCAGACAAGCTTGGCATTCCCATGTTTATTAGTGTAAGTTATCTATTATTGCACCCATGTATGATTGTGTCACTCAGTTTATCAAGAGCTGGGGAGGTTACAATATTAAAGCCACATCCTTTTAAAAAAATCTCCCATTTTGTCTTTCTACATGGACCCGAAACCCAGAAAGGTGTCCCTGCACAATGACAAGTTGAGAGATCAATATTTTCGGCCTCAGTTTTCCCCAGAGTGTCCACTTACTTTGGGGGTCTCAGCTTCTGGCTACTCCAATTGAGACAACTTCTCTCAAGGCCTGATTTGAAAGGTGCTGAACACCCATATCTCCAATTAATTTCAATGAGAGGCAAGGGTGCCCAGCAGCTCTGAAAATTAGGCAACAAGTAGTGCCCCAGTTTGGGCACTCAGGAAAAAAAACAAACCCCAAAACAGCAGACACTTGGAAATGCAGGCCAGCCATAGCATACCACCTGTTGCAAAACCCTTGTTCCAGTTGGAGAATCAGTTACGGTAGTTAGCTGAGCAAAGCTGTGCAGACAACATCTCACTTCGGGTGGGAGCAGAGTTGCCTACAGCATCTTTGTAATGGCTCTTTTGGCATAGTGGAACTACACATGAAGTTACTGTGGAAGAGAGACAAGGTGGGTGTGGTAATACCTTTTATTGGACCAACTTCTGTGGAAAGACGTGCTGACAGATGAACATGAGAAGTAACTGCAAGAGTTTTATGTTCTCACTTAGCTGCATTGTTAAATGAATCATTTATGCTGCATCCAGCAAAGTGCTAGGCCCCCAAAAAAAGACAGCTCTGAAGAGCTTAGGAGAAGATGGGACAAAGGTAACAGAAGGAAGGTCATGCTGCATTCAGGTACGCTAGGTACAATTTTCCACAGCGCCTGAGTGACTTCGGGTATGTCTGCACTGCAAAAAAATAAAAAACCCCAGGAGTGAGCCTCAGAGCCTGGGTTAACTGACTTGGGCTCCTGCTACAGGGCTAAAAACAGCAGTGAGATGTTCTCACTCGGGCTGGAGCCTGGGCTCGGAGACCCACACACCTCGCAGGGTTTCAGACTTGGGCTCCAACCTGAGCAGGGACGTCTATGCTGTTATTTTTATTCCCATAGCACAAGCCTGAGTCAGCTGACCCAGGCTCTGAGATTTGCTGTCGTGAGATTAAAAAAAAATTTTTTTTTTTTTTTTTTTGCAGTGTACATGACCATTTAGGCTCCTAAGTGCTATTTTCAAAAGTGACATGGACACTGAGTCCAATCAACTTTCAACGTAACGCATTCACTGCATTGAAAGGCCATGGGAGTCAGGGCCCTAAGTGACCAAGTCACTTTTGAAAATGGGACTTGGGAGCCTATGGACAATAGCAGAGGAGGAGATGGGCTGGACTGATGATCATGCAGGACAAAAGAAAAAACTTTCAGAGATTTTTGAATGAGGTGGAAAATAGATGAATGAAACCCATGACAGAAGAGAATTAATTTATCCACAGTTTCCAGAATTAAAAAAGCCTATCTCCAAGTCCTATTGATTAAATGCACATAGAGCACCCACTCAAGAAGTTACAAGTGCCACGGACTTCACCTTATACTCTGAGGGCTTGTCTACACTGGCACTTTACAGCGCTGCAACTTTCTCACTCGGGGTGTGAAAAACACCCCCTGAGTGCTGGAGGTTTCAGTGCTGTAAAGTGCCAGTGTAGACAGTGCACCAGTGCTGGTAGCTACACACCTCGTGGAGATGGTTTTTTTAAGAGCACTGGGAGAGCTCTCTCCCAGCGCTGTGCCGTGGCAGTGCTTGAACGTTGCCAGTGAAGACATGCCCTTAGTAATCTGGAGACTGATTCTCCATTGACTTGCACCTTGTGTAGGTAATTTATATTGGTACAAAGCGGGTGTAGACTGCTACCATTGATTTGGTAACACTCACACCCACTTTGCACTGGTGGATGTGACTACACAAAGTGCAAAGCAGTGGAGAGTCAAGCCCGTAATGTCCTTTTCACTGTCTGACCACATTGATCTATTTTTCATTGCGCAAGTGGAGAGGAATCAGTGGAGTCAGTTTCACTTTGGCTAAGTGTCCCTGGGCTGCAAATGTTTCAGGGAGGAAGCGTCGATTTTTGTTTTAAGTTAACATTTCTGTGCATTTTAAAAGTAAATTGAGGGAAATTTTCAATTGGTATGGGGTTTTGCAAGACTAAAAATCCAAATGTAGAGCCTGATTTGAGTTGCTTTCATCCCTTTTAGCAAGACATTTATTAAAAAACAACTTTGAAGTTCCACAGAGGTTTTTCCGCCTCCACTGTACTGCTCAAGTTGTTTGTATCCAGAAGTAGGAGTAACACAGATGCTTGTGTTCAAATTGACTAGAGGAAATAAAGGCAGAATTTTTCTTATATAAACAAAGAGACGGAGGGGAAGACAGCCTAAAAATAAATGACAATCCCGCCCCCCCCGCCCCCCCGAAGAACACAAGGCAGAGACATCCCCACAAGATCTAGGGCAACTGCTCCTGACAGCTCCCACTGAAGTTTAGTATGCATTTTTGAAACCTTCAGAGACACGGCCTAGAATCTAACTTGGTCTGTAACAGGTTGCTAGAGTCCCTTCAGAATGATTTTTAATTCTGTCTGAAATGATCCAGAGTCAGGCCTGAAGCAAATAAAAATTAGAGGCCAAATCCTGCTGACTTTGGGCCTGATTCACCATTTCCATCTGTGAAAAATGGGTATAAAATGCTACCAAATCAAAATGGAAGTACGGTCCATCCATTCTGTACCGGTGTAATTGAAACCACACGGTGTAGATCATTGGTGATTCAGGCCCTGTATTCAGTCAAAGTTCCCACTGAACTTCTGTCCTGTTGAACTTAATGGAACCAGTTCTCCTCTCACTTTCACTCCTGATTTACATCAGTGTCTTGATCAAAGCTAACCGCTTAAATAGATATGAGAGAAGAACCAGCCCCAATGGAAAATTTGTCTGAAAAACAATAGTAGGATTTGGTGCATGGTAAATAAAGCAGAAAATCCAACAGAACACTTTTGTGATAGCTCCTCCCACCAAACACAGACGTTTTGCTGTTCAGCCTGAATATTTAAGATTCCGCTTTCACTATCCCACCCAAAAGATAATCAGGAACGCCATAATCGTTTCATCGCCAAAGGCAACGTTGGCAGCTCTACGAGAGCCCTAAGCCCGATCCTGTAAAATGCTTTCGTCCCTGCTTAACGCTCTACTATCATGAGCAGTCCCACTGAAGTCAAAGTGACTATTGGCTTCAGTGTTTGCAGGATTGGGGCCCTAGTGAGCCGAACCCCTGAACTTGCAATGCCAGCGTAGCCCCACTTAACATGCATGCAAGAGTCCACGCTAGCAGATCCAGCTACAGGATTAGCATATAGAATTTTAAGGGGAAGTGGCTGTAGGTTGCGTGTTTCAGATCTCTGACTTTATAATGAATCAGGCACCCAGGCCTAGCTATACACACACTTACCAGCTCCTCTGCACAGTGAAATTGACCAGAATAGCTACCCTGCTGTTCTATTCCAGGCAAGGGGGGTGAGGCAATATCTTTTATTGGATCAACTTCTGTTCCTGCAAGAGACAAGCTTTGGAGCCAGACAAAGCTCTCCTTCAGACGCTCATTCCAGAATAAGAGTGGGTCCACACAGGCAGTTATTCTGGAATAGCTATTGTACTTTAAATTCATGCCCAGTCTTATTCTGGAATAACTTCTCCATATAGACAAGCCCTTTTAAAGGGGAAAGTACACATCGAAACTTAGAAACCTGCATTTTACTCCTATAACTGGATTTTGCTGAATGTGTAAATCAATGAATTAGAGCAGGAACTGTGTTTGCCCTTTCCACGGCATTGTTAGGGCTTAGCCTACGGTTTGTAATGGAAACACTGAAAGTCTCAGGGAGCAGCTACCTGGGAAGAGCAGATGCAGGATTTGCTTGACAGCTTAAGAACAGCCATACTGGGTCAGACCAAAGGTCCATCCCCTGTCTACCAACAGTGGCCAATGCCAGGTGCCCCAGAAGGAGTGAACCTAACAGGTAATGCTTCTTGTCTGCCATATCCACCTCCTCAAACAGACCCTCCAAACCAGCTCTGCCACCATTAACTGCTTCCTATGCAATGGGCCAGTCCCCTCTCAGTTCAGATGGGGTCATTCTGGGATGATTTCATTACCTCCAGTGGGGTGATGCCACAGTCACACTGGTGTAAGCAAGAGCAGAATCTGGCCCCCAGCTCCCCTTTCCTTCCCAGAGCTGACACCTTCCAGCCCCTCCTCACACACACAACTCACTAGAAGCAGCAGCGGGTGCCCTACCTGGAGGCTGACTCCTTCCTTCTCCCCACCCATCTCCACTCCCCACCGCCTGCCTAGCCAAACGCAAGCTGCCACCCCGCAGCCCAGGCGGGCTGGGCCATTCCCGGGACAGCAGCTGCGAGCGGGGGGGTGGGGGTGAAGCAAACTTCTCACCATCCTCCAGCAGGATGGGGGTGGAGGGTGTCTCTGAGTCAGGTTCCTCTTTCCCACGCGTCAGGGCCCTTGCCCCTGCCTGGCCAGAGGAGGGGGGGAGAACACCCAGGCCCCGAGCCCCCTTTGGGCTAGCAGAGCGCTTCGGGCTGTGCGCCCCTGCCCACCCGTGCGCTCCTGGGCCAGGCTGTGCGCTCCCCTCCAAGTGCTTGTTACAGGGGGAAGGGGCCCGAGTGCGCTCCCACCCCGAAGCCCCCTGTGACGCAGGATCGGGGTCCCCAAGCCTCCAGCGCTGCGAGGAGAGGGACTGGGAGCCGCCCTGGCTGCGCTGCCGCGTTTGGAAAGCGGAGTTCCCCATTGCGCGCTGGGGAGCCCGGGCGCCGCCAGCCGCAGCAGGGGGAGAGACGGGTCCCTATCCCCCAGCAAGCCTGCGGGGAGCTCTGCCTGGAAAACCGGCCACTCACCCGCTGCTCCAGAGACCCTGGCCTCCGCTGCTCTCGAGTGTGGCGGGGAAGCTAATCACGAACCTTGCTGGGCTTGACACATAAGGGCAGGACACGCCCTCACCCAGGGGTGGGGACTCATTGGATTCCAGGTTTGGAAATAACCCGTCACTAGCTCCGCTTTCACTCGGGGGAGGGTGGGTAGCCCGGGAATCCTCTCCTGCTCCCTGGAGCCAGGCACTTCCCCGCAGGGGGACCCATTTCTCCTCTCCCTAGCTCTGGGGGTTGGGTTATCAGTATCACTCAAGGGGAGCACCAAAGGACTCCCCCCCTCACTAAACCCAGGGGCATGAACTCAGTCACAATTCAATTCACAATTAAATGGAGACTCTTACAACTGGGGTTCACCTATCTAGCCATTCCTCTCAGAGCATATATTCCTTCCATTTACAGTATCTAGTTTAGATTCGGAACATAAGTGCTGCCCTACTGCGAACAATATCCTATTTTAGGGGAGTGATCCACCTCTATCTTCCCCTCCAGCTTCTGGCAGTCAGAGGTTTAGGGACAACCACAGAATGGGATTACATCCTTGATCATTTGGCTAATAGCCATTGATGGACCTATCCTCCATGAATTTATCTAGTATTCCTTTTTGAACCCAGTTATACTTCTGGGCATCACAACATTCCACTGCACTGAGTTCCACAGGTTAATTGCATTTTGTGCATTCCTGTTGTTTGTATTAAACCTGCTGCTTATTAATTTCATTGGGTGACCCTGGGTTTCTGTATTGTAGCAAAGGGTAAATAACACTTCCCTATTCACTTTTCCCACACCGTTCATGATTTTACAGACCTCTATCAAATCATAGAATCATAGAATCATAGAATATCAGGGTTGGAAGGGACCTCAGGAGGTCATCTAGTCCAACCCCCTGCTCAAAGCAGGACCAATTCCCAACTAAATCATCCCAGCCAGGGCTTTGTCAAGCCCGGCCTTAAAAACCTCCAAGGAAGGAGATTCCACCACCTCCCTAGGTAACGCATTCCAGTGCTTCACCACCCTGCAGTTTTCTCTTTTCTAAGATGAACAGCCCTAATCTTTTTACTCTCACCTTCTCTGGAAGCCATTCCATATCTGTTATCATATTTGTTGTCCTTCTCTGAACCTTTTCCAGTTCCACTATCAGGGCCGCCCGGGGAGGGGGGGGGCAAGTGGGGCAATTTGCCCCAGGCCCCGCAGAGGCCCCCATGAGAATATAGTATTCTATAGTATTGCAACTTTTTTTTATGGAAGGGGCCTCCAAAATTGCTTTGCCCCAGGCCCCCTGAATCCTCTGGGGGGCCCTGTCCACTATATTCATTTTGAGATGAGGTGACCTGAACTGGACACATTATTCAAGAGGCAGGCACACCATGGATTTATATAGTAGCATTATGATGTTATCTGTCTGATTTTCTATCCCTTTCCTTGTAGTTGCTAACATTCAGATAGTCTTTTTGACTGCTGCTTCTCATTGAGCTGAAGTTTTCAGAGAACTATCCACAATGACTCCAAGATGCCTTTTTTGAGTGGTAACAGCTACTTTAGTGGAAACAGCTACCCATTATTATATATCTGTAGTCGGGATTATTTTTTCCAATGTGCATTCCTTTGCACTGGTTGTAAACTCTTTGGGGACAGAGACCATCTTTTCATTCAGTGTTTGTACCACACTTAGCCCAGTGGGCTCCTGGTCCATGAATTGGGCTCCTAGGGTGTTATCACTGTGCAAATAATAATTAAATAATCTAGGTAGCTCTCATTTGTGTGTAGTGACTCTCTCCTTTGTATCTAAGCATGGTACAAAATTAATGAGCACAAATGCCCACAACAAAAAGTTGTTCATCTCCATGTTGTTTATTAGCATTTTCCCCTCTTCTTAACAGTGTTGGGTCATTCCCTTTGCTCACAGTCCTCACCTTCAGGCCCTTTGTGCAGTGTGAGGAAGCTCACCAGGAAATCCCTCTTCTCAGGTTCTCCTTTCCAGCGTGTGCAGAGGGTGGCCACACCTTGTTCATCTCTCTCCTGTGCAATCCGCCCTCTTGCAGGAAGTTACCATGACTTCAAATTGGCAGCCTGAACGAAGACAAGCTGTGTTTCAAAGAGCATGTCTGTACAGCTAGCTTATTATTGTTTCCATTGCAGCCTGGGCTCCAGCAGTTTCTTTTCCAGCAGAGGCTGAGCTCTTGTGCTATTCCTGAAGTTTAAAAAAATAAAGTTTCTTACTGTTTCATTGAAGTGAAGGGGTTGTGGAGGGAAAATGATACACAGGGCACAAATACACCATAGAAATACAGAGGCAAGGATCCCACTTACAACACTGATATCCTTCTTATCTATCTATCTACCTACTTATATGGACCCCAACTCTGCAGTATCTGAGACCATGCCCTGCTTACAACAGGGTTACAACTTGTAGTGTGGATGAGATCAACATGTGTTGCCCTTGGGTGACATCCTGGCCCTATTGATTTCAAATGGCACTGACTTCAACAGGACCAAAGTGTTCACCCATCATGTCATGTAGCTAAGACAAAGCTTTGGATGTACAATGGATAGTGAGAACACTAGCCTCTTTGCAGAATTGGGCCCAAAGATCCCAGGGGGTGAAAAACAACAACAACAAATAATCCAGTGGGCTGTATTTGGCTTTCAAGTCTCCAGATGTAAATCTAGAGTCATTCCAGAACTGAGCCCCGTGCTCCTCCCCACCCCCCAGCCAGGCAAAATACCCATCTTCTTTGAGTATTGTCAGTATAGATCCCTGGTCTGATCCTCCGTTGGAGGATCTGCATGAGCTATGCTGATTTACACCAGCTGAGGATCTGACCCCCTGACTCCTGGGCAGCAGAGAGACCCACACCCAGGAGTGCACTGATAATTTATTCCAAGAGCACCCATTCCCCCCCACTGCAGCATTTCACTCCTACTGTTTTCACTTCTCATTCATTCCTATCTCGTCAGATCTGCCTTGTCTTTTTCTCTGCTCACATACACTTTTCTTCTTCGAAGGCCCCTTTGAACTACTCGCCAGGGTGCTGCCAAGTCTTTCCTACTTATGTTGCTGCTGCTGCTTTTTATTTTTTTAGCACATGCCCTTTGGAAAGCTGCATCTGCTGTTTGCTTTCCAGCCCATGTATTTTTCAGCATTGGATGGCTCTGCCCTTCAAACCAACGGGTTAGAAGCAATAATTATTTCATGCTGACATATGTTATTCATCATTTCATGTTATTCAGCTTCTGAAAATGCTGCGCAGTTCCTGCCATCCATGCTCTGTCTAATGGAACTTTTCTCCCCCAGGGACAGACTCCAGCTTGGGGAGGTTGATTGGTTAACATTTGGGAAGCACTTTGACGATGGAAAGTGTTTTTATAATGTGCAATGGTGCCCCAAACCTATTCATTTGCAATGAAATGTATTCTGGTTCCCCAGAAGTCGGCCCTTCAATCCCTGGGAAGCTACTGCACATGCTGGCTCTGTAGCCTTCTGACTTATTCAGAGGCAGGGCTGCTCCATCACATAGGGGATGAGCCCTAGAGGAAAAATACACAAACTGTACAAAACTCTGGCTCTCCCACTGAGATGTTCAGGGCCGGTGCAAGGAAGTTTCGTGCCCTAGGCGAAACTTCCACCTTGCGCCCTCCCCCCAGCCCTGCGGCAGCTCCCCGCCCCCCCCCCCGGGGGCCCCCCCCCCCGTCGCCGCCCCCCCCCCCCCCGGGGAGCCGTGCGGCAGCTCCCCACCCCAGCTCACCTCTGCTCCGCCTCCTCCCTGAGCACGCCGCCCCCGCTCTAATTCTCCTCCCAGGCTTGCGGCGCCAAACAGCTGATTGGCGCCGCAAGCCTGGGAGGCGGGAGAAGTGGAGCAGCGACAGCGTGCTCGGGGAGGAACACTGTAAAAAAAAATTGGGGGCACCACTTTTTGGGGGCACTCACATGAGCTGCTCCATTTCCCCACCTAGGGCATGCAGCCTGCAGGAGGTCCGCTAGCTCCGAGAATAATTCCCCTATGTGGATCTGTGGCATTTGCTCCCCTCCAGGGCAGTAGCCTTCTGGCTGGGGGTTCCCCTGCTCTCTGATCAGTGCTATGCAGTGTCCCCTCGCCATGGTTACTATGAAGAAACAGGTGCGGTCATACTTGTCTACCTTGCACATCTTTCCCTTTGAGTTCTGAAACAGAAGAGCTGCCCAGCGGAATTCTGCATTTCTTCCCTGGCTGCCAGGGAGGAACCTACCCCACACCAATTCCATCACAGATTGAGACGTCAGAAGAAAGGAGGGTGCAATTCAGTGGCAGAGCCAAGAATGGAACCCAGGAGTTCTGACTACCCACCCCCTGCTCCAGTCACTAACCCACACTTCTGTTCTTTTAATTTTTGAAGAATTATGCCCCAATTCCCATAAGCGGCCAGGGATTTTGCGTGACTCCAACCTGAAACGACCAATGCCTCATTTTCAGAAACCCTGAGCACGTGCAGCTCCCACTGATTTCAGCTGCCGTTGCAGGCCCTGAGCTCTTCTGATAATCAGACCACCAGTGTCTCAAGTTGGGTTCCAAATATCAAGTCACCCAAAATCACTGGCTGCTTTTGAAACAGCCTTAATTTACAGAAGCTCATGTCCCGAGCTCTCTGGGCACCTTCGCAAATACATGTTTAAGGGAATGCCTTAGGAAAGGTTCCACGACCAGGGCCGGCTCTAGGCACCAGCAAAACAAGCTGGTGCTTGGGGCGGCACATTTTTAGGGGCGGCATGGCCGGTGCCAGAATGCCGCCCCTAAAAATGTGCCCCGGCCGCCCTAGCTCACCTCCGCTGCTGCTGCCGCTCGCGCACCGCTACTCGCCCTCTCTCCCAGGCTCTCAAGCCTGGGAGGGAGGGGGAGCAGCGGCGTGCAAATCAGCTGTTTCGCGCGCTGCGGCCGCTCGGGGTCTCCCCCTCCCTCCCAGGCTCTCAAATCTGGGAGGGAGGGGGAGATCCCGAGCAGCCGCGGCGCGCAAAACAGCCGTTTCGCGTGCC